CTGCTTGGCCTGCTGTGTTCATCCAGCTCTACACCTTGTTACAGCAGCAGTGGAAAGGTACTTTTCAGAATGGAGATTAATTACTACTAGTGTTCTGCAGGGATCAGTGCTGGGACCTTTGTTTGTAATATATTTAAATGATCTGGAGAAAAATGTAGGTGGTCTGATTAGTAAGTTTGCGGATGACACCAAAATTGGCAGAGTTGCAGACAGTGAGGAGGATAGTGAAAGGATACAGTGGAACTAGATTGATTGCAGATTTGGGCAGAGAAATGGCAGATGGAGTTTAATCCGGATAAATATGACATGATGCATTTAGGAAGATCATTTCAGATGTGAATTATACAATAAATGGCAGAATCCTTAGGAGCACTGACATTCAGGAGGGACTGTGGCGTACAGGTCTACTTATCCCTGAAAGTGGCAACACAGGTCGATAAGGTGCTCAAGAAGGCATACAGCACGCTTGCCTTCATCTGCTGGGACATTGAATATAAAAGTTAGCAAGTTATGTTACGGCTGTACAAAACTTTAGTTCGGCCACATTTGGAATGTGGCATGTAGTTCTGGTCACCACACTACTTGGAAGGATATGGATGCTTTGGAGAGGGTGCAGAGAAGACTTACCAGCATGTTGCCTGGTCTGGAAGGTTTTAATTATGAGGATGAGGGCCTCACTATCTAGGCCAGCATTTATTGCCCATCCCTAATTGCCCCAATGGGCAATTAAGAGTCAACCACTTTGCTGTAGCTCTGGAGTCACACGTAGGCCAGACCAGGTAAGGATGGCAGTTTCCTTCCTTTAAAGAACAGTAGTGAACGAGATGGGGTTTTTTTTTCCTGACGATCAGCAATGGATTCATGGTTATCAGTAGACACTTAGTTCCAGATTTACAGTGAATTCAAATTCCACCAACTGTCCTGGCAGGATTTGAACCCGGGTCCCCAGAAACATTACCTGGGTATCTGGTTTAACAGTCCAGCAACAATACCAATTGGCCATCACCTCCCCTAGGTTGGATAAACTCAAGATTGTTTTCACTGGAAAGATGGAACTGAAGGGGTGACCTGATAGAGGTCTACAAAATTATGAAAGCCATAGATAGTCAGAGGTTTTTCCCAGAGGTGAAAGGTCAACTACAAGATGGCACAGGTTCAAGGTAAGAGGGGGAATTTTAGGGGAAAAGTACAGGGAAGATTTTTCACACAGGATGGTGGCTGCCTGGAATGCACTACCAGTGGAGGTGGTGGAAGCAGGCATGTTAGCAACATTTAAGGCATATCTTGATAGGCACGTGAACAGAGGAATAGATACTGCGCACAGGCAGTAAGTAGTGGGTCTAAATAAGGATTAGGAATCAGCATAGGCTTGGTGGGCTGAAGGGCCTGTTACTGTGCTGTATTGTATTTGATATCATTTCTCTTGAGGGCTGATGTTTCTTTAAGCAAGATTAGGTCCCGCCTCCTCTGCCTCATCCTTTCTTTATCACCCTCTCTATCTCATCTAAAATTCCAATAGTCAGGAATGTTAAGTTGCCATTCTTTTCCTCCTTCAAATTGTGTTTCAATAAATGTCGTACTTCTAATTGCCCAGAAGTCACACACCCCTCAGAACTGGTCTCAATGTCCCAGGAATCTAAAACCCTCCCTTCTGCACCTTCACAGCGATATATTCATCAGCATGCTATCCTATTTCGATCCTCACTGTCGCACTGGAAGTAATCTGGAGATGAAAACAGAGTGTGCTGTAAATGCTTAACAGGTCGAGCCATTTCTATAGTGAAAGAAAGAGTTAATGTTTCAAATTGACCATTCTTTAGAATCACCTGCGTATTCCAGCGTGTTCTGATTTTATTTCCAATTTCCAATTTCCAGCAGCTGCAGTATTTTGACGTTGAGTTTGGAGGTTATTACTTCTTTAAGGTTCCGCTTATCACTGTTCATAGCCTCCTAAAATCTGTCTTCAGTACCTTTATCCCTGCTTTAACCTCTGTCTATGGCGACAATATGGACAACAGTCTCTGGCTGTTCACGATTGCCCTTCAGAATATTCAGATGCTCAATGATATCCTGAAGTCTAGTATCTTAAAGACATTATTGTATTGTATTGAGAAGAATGTTTGGTCCATGACACTTTTGGAAAGGCTGGGTGATGCTGGGTCCTGGCCTCTCCTCTGAGGTGCTTTCTCTCAGTGGCACAGAATGATTTTTCCCTACTACATTGCAAAAAGTACAAGTCATGCTGTTTTACTAGTATTTTTAGATAGCAGTTGAAGGGAAAATTACTATTTGATCAATTTCAGTTCTTCCAAGCCCATCTTTTGATTCTTTACTTGTTCCACTACCATTTCCTTTGGCCTTGCCACTATTATCCCTTTTGTGACTAAATCACTCCAACCTTCCACCGTATCGCAGACCTGGTCCCTTTGACCTTGCCTCTCACTTTTTCCGGTATTTATATTTGTTTAAAATCGGTTACATCTCTAACTTCTTCCAGTTCTGTGAAAAGTCATAAAACTGAAATGATAATTCTGTTACCGCTGACTTCATAAGAAACCTGTTGAGATGCCACCATTGTCAAATAAAGACCCCCATGCAGGACATATGTAATGTATTGAGATTTGTTCAACTCTATATTTGCCTTTTGTCTGTAAAGGAACTGGAGGATGCTGCAACACAGGCTGCTCTTGAGGAGAAAAGACGCCTACAGACACAAATGCAGCTGCAAGATCGATTCAGACAGGAACTGGAACGAGAAAAAAATGTAAGCACAATGCACTTTATGGTTTGCTTTTGATAAATATATATGGACTATTGCCACATTAAAATGATTGCTTTTTAGATATTTTCTAACAAAGCTGTTCAAATATGTGATTACATGATTGCTTTTTATTCATGTTTGATAAACAGGAATCTGCTGTTCATTATTTTCCAGGTCTTTTTAGTACAGCAGCCAATTGTTGACAGATTAGAGAACTTTGTGAAATTGGTCTCTCAGCTGGTAAACTGTGTGGCAAATTAATTTTCTTTTACATCGCAGAGTGTAGTCAGAAGCAGCTGCAGAGCTGTCCCTCTGTGGGTTCTAGAAACTATAGCATTGTGGGTCCACAAATGTGGTCTTGGATTCATGGAATCAATTTCACAAGAGGAAATGTGTTATGCGATTCAGCAATTGGGCTTCTTGGCCCACTGGAAACTTGTGTGTGGTTGTTGGGGTCTGAAAGGGCTGAGGAGTGCACTTGGTGTTGCCGAATATGATATCACATGGATTTGGCAGGGAATAAATTTGGAACACAAAGGAGGAAGCCCTCACATTGAGGTGTCCGTCATTGTTACTGGGACTATGTCTATCATGGTAATGTAACTTGTATCTAGTTGCTGTCATGCTATAAATATATTGTTGTTTGATATAAGAGCCTCTCTTAGACTACCAGTTGGATTTCCACGATCACACCAGACCAACCAGTCCTGTAGTTCCCAGGAAAGCAGGTGGCAGCAAATGTACAAGGTGGATCTGATGAGAATTCATCTTACAACAGTCTGTAACATACATTTCTAAGTACGTGCTTAGTATTCTAGCTCACAGTGCCGCTTAGTGCAAATGTGCAACAATTTGCAAAGTAATTAATATTAAAGGAAGTCCTTCTTTGCCCAATGCATGTTGCTTGATTTTAACAGTAGTTAATGGGTCTGTAATCTCCATTGTGTGTTGCAAAATTCAGTTTAACGTTTCTCATGTTATGGGATTGGTGCTATTTTGCAGGAGCCTCAGTCTGTCCCCATCCCTAATCCTCCATCTTGCAGTATCTCCTTGTGCTCAATCCACCAATTCATGGTCCCAGCAGCTATTATTAGCAGCTTTTATTTGCTATTAGTTGATTTGAATTGAGAAAAGTTGCTGATATTGCAGTGGATGTTCTTAAGGGATTGGAGCAATTGCATTATTTCAGCAGGACTGATTTTATTGTACTGACTGATTATATTTTTCCAATTGGCACACAGGGACAATGAAATTATTTATCTCTAAAACAATAATTAAGTAACAGTCTCAGCTACAGTCAGCAAGGTCCATTTACCAATACTCAATTTAGAATCTTTGTTCTCCTCTTTCGAAATAAATGAGTGCTGGTTGCTTTGTTTCATCCAAGACACAGCCTTGTAATTTCCCTTAGAAACTAAATGTCCTTTCCTTTTTCGACCTGTTGGACTTTTGGTAAGTGTCCAATGGCTAAGTAAGTAATTTGTGCAGTTTCAATTTGGTTCATTTTAGTTTTGCATCCGATTAATCTTGTTGGACCTTAACTACATTTGATTGATGTGAAGACCCAATAATGCTCATTCCAGGTCGGCAACAACTACATATCTATGTGGAATGTTTGTTAATTCCACAAGCTAAAGATTATAATGTGTACACTGTTGTTTTCAGATCAGAGAGCAGATGGAAGAGCAAGTAGCTCAGAAGTCTACTGAACTGCAACAGTACTTGCAACGTGTGAAGGAACTGGAAGAAATGTACAAAAGGCTGGAGGAAGCCCTTGAGGATGAGCGTCAGGCTCGGCAAGAGGAGGAATCTGTCCGAAAACTTCAGGCCAGGTAGTAAAATATTTTAAACCTTCCAGATACTTACAATGGGAAATTTTAAGGACATCACTGGAAGAAGAGTATAGCACAATATAAGTATAGTAATTACACAGAATTCATTAATTAGAGGAGTGGCTAACATCTTCTGCAGTAACAATTGAGAGTCCTGTAAAATAGAAAAAAGCTGACAATATCCAGCAGGTCAGAGAGCATCTGTGGAGACAAAAACAGTTAATGTTTCATCAGAACAAGGGATATTAGAAACATGATAGGATTTGAACAATGGGTTGGTAGAACGAGGACTAAAGGAAGGTCTTTGGGTGGTGGACAGGAGAGATTGAATAACAGAAGAAGTTGGTCTTCTAGGGCCAAAAGGAATAGTGATGGAGCAAAAAGAGAAGTAAACAAAATAAGGTCGCCGTAGGAACATGTGAGCTGCTGACTGAAAGCAAAATTAAAGGAAAAGTCAAAATCAATTGAAAGGAAATGAGAGGGAGGATTAGTTTACAATCTGAAATTGTTGAATTTGAACATTGAGTCCAAAAGTCTGTAAAGTTCTTAATGGAAAGACGAGGTGTTGTTCCTCAAGCTTACATTGTGCTTCAGTGGAACAGTGCAGAAGGCTAAGGACAGGGATGTCAGTGTGAGAGCAAGGTGGATTAGTGGCCTGTAGGGTGTATTGTCTAGCAAGTGCCATGATATGATATATTTTAACATGGGTACAAAAGGGAGGGTTGTTGTAATCTGCAACATGACCAACAATATAGGGGAAGAAAAGGGAGGAGACACTGCCCAGGTAAAATTAGATGTTAGGTTCTAATTTGGAAAGTAGGACCTCCATGGTTGATTATCTAAAGATTATTACGCAAAGGAGGGATTCCACTTCATGAGACTCAGGCACATCAGTGTTGGGGCAACAGGGAGCTCTACTGATTTGGTGAGTTCTAGGGAAACCCGGGAAGGAGGAGGCAGCTAACCCTGTTGATTGAAGAAACTATTAAAACATTAATAGGAAGGATATTAGCAACGGAAAGAAACCAGTGGAGGCTCTATGGTTAGAATGAAAGAATAAGAGGGGATTCTAAACTGTAACGGGAGTAATTTGTGGACAGTTCTCTTAATAGCAGCAATCACATAGTAGAATGATTTCAGAGACTTGTAGCAAACACGAAGTGGTTTTAATGAAAACCTTTAATTTCCATATGTAAGAGCAAAGAAGTGCAAGTCAGAAAGATAGTGAGTCTGTGTGTGCATGCCTGCCTACCCCTGATAGCCATCAAATCCTTTTTTGTCAACAACCCCTCATCAATCTTAGCCTTACAAGTATTCAAACTCCACCACCCACCAATGCCCCCCCCTCCCCCTCCCCCTCCCCCTCCCCAAACCATTCTCCAGGGGAGAATATTACAAAGACTCATGACCTAATCAGTGAAGACATTTTGTCATTTCCATCTTGCATGCACTCCCCCTTATTTTTAAACCATTCCCTAGATCTAGGCTCTTCTACCAGGGTAAACATCGCATCAGCATCCACTCTGCAAAGTCTGCCCGTGATCTTGCGTATCTCAATAATGTCACATCTCAATTTTCTAAACTCCAACGGATCCTATCCAGTCTTTCCTCATAAGATAATACCTTGCCCAGTAATCAGTCTAATAAACCTTCTCTGAAATGCTTCTAATGCATTAAGATGTTTTCTTAAATAAAGAGACCAAAACTGTACATAGAACTCCAGATGTGGCCTCACTAAAGCTGCATGAATCCGCAGCAAAGCATTCCAACGTTTATATTTTATATCCCTTGCAGTAAAGGATAACATTTCATTTGCCTTCTTAATCACTTGCACTACCTCCATATGAACATTTTGTGAATCATGTACCAGCACACCTAGATGCCTCTGTACCACAACAGTTCTACAATCACTCTTCATTTATGAGCTTGCCCAAAGTAGGCAAGTTCATATTTTCCCACATTGTACTTCATTTTCCAAATTTTTGTCCACTCACTTAATCTATCTATATCCCTTTGTAGACTCCTTATCTCTTCTTCACACCTTACTGTACTTAACCTTGCACCATCAGCAAATTTGGCAACCATACATCTAGTCCCTTTATATTGTGCTTGATTGCGTTAAGATTTTCTAAGTGCCTTGTTATAACTTCTTTAACAAAAGATTCCAGCAGTTTCCCTATGATAAATGTTAGGCTAACCAAAGCTTCCTGCTTTCTGTCTCCCTCCTTTCTTGAATAAAGGAGCCAAATTTGCAATTTTTCCAATCTGACAAGACCTTTCCAGAATAGGGAATTTTGGAAAATTAAAACACATACATCTATACCAGTAGCCATCTCTTTAACCACCCAAGGATGATGTCTACTTGGAGATTTAGCCAGTTCGAGTTCTGATCATTTTCTCCATACCGTTTCCCTTGTAATTTTAATTATTTTAAGTTCCCTGCTCCCTCTTACATTCACAATTATTTCTGGGATATTACTTGTATCCTCTATAATGAAGACAGATACAAAAGGTCTGTTTAATCCATGTGCCATTTTTAATTAGTGATGCCCCAGACACACTATTTGGAGGACCAATGCTCACTGTACTTTTTTCCTTTTTAAAGACCTTTAGAATCTCTTGCTATCTGTTTTTATATTTCTGGCTAGCTTTCTGTCGTATTTTAAATTCTCCGACATTAATCTTTTAGTAATTCTTCACTGTTCTTTGTTCTGTCCAGTCATCTGCCCTGCCATTCATTTTTTGAGGAATTGTGTACTCTTTCTTTCAGCCTGATACTATCTTTAAAATCCTAACTTAGCCAAGCTTGGTGTTTAATTCCTTCAGAACAGGGCTTCCCCTGTGAATTCCAAAACAGCAATTCCTGCTATAGAGCTGCAATTGAGAGCTAAAAGCTATGTAGTCACCTTAAGTTTTTAAGAGTTTGTTTCACATGGGTGTGGCCGAAGTGGCTTGACCTTGAGGCCCCAAACAATCCTTCCAAATCCAGCAGAGATTCACCTACACTTTGTCTAACCTCATCTATTATATCCGTTGCTCCCAAAGTGGTCTCCTCTATATCGGGGCAACCAAATGCAGACTCAGGGACTGGTTCGCAGGACACTTGTGCTGTGTATGCACCAATCACCCGACCTTGCGGTTGCCATCCACATTAAATCCCCCTCCCACTCCTCAGTGACATCCATCCTTGGCCTCCTCCACTGTCAGAGTGAGGCCAATTGTAAACTGAAGGGACAACACCTGATATTTCACCTTGGGAGCTTACAGCCCAGTGGCTTGAATATTGACTTCATCAGCTTCAAAATCTCTCCGCACCCGCTCCCCCCCCCCCCCCCCCCCCCACCCCCACCCCCCCCAACAACCTGTCCATCTTCTGACTCACCTATCCAGTCCACCTTTCCCACTGATCAACTACAATAACCCCCTACCTGCATCCACCTATCTCCATCCTACCTACCCTCCCCCAGCCCTACACCCCCTCTATTTAATTCTGGTCTCCACCTCTCCATTCCTGACAAAGGGTTTTGGCCCGAAACGTTGACTTCCCTGGTCCTCGGATGCTGTCTGACCTACTGTGCTTTTCCAGCTCCATGTTTATTGACTAAAGCTTCCAGCATCTGCAGTCCTTACTGTCTCCAATAGTTTAAAAGGATTTGAAACCAAGGTGGTTGAATGGAGTGAAATGACAAATGAGCTTATTGACTGGTGGAACATGTCTGGAGGCTTAATGGGCTATCCATGTGGCAGTGTTACAATACCCAGTGTTCAAGTCTCCTCTGAGTTCAGATAATTCATGTTTGTGTTCTTAATGTTTCTAATTGCATCGAATTCTACAAGGTGTTTAAGTGCTGCTATGATTATACTCTGCTGCAGTTATAAGGCTGCATTTAATTCTGCTTTAGTTCTCCATTTAAATGAGATTAGTAAGCATGTATTCTTAAGTATGTACGATGAAATTGCGCATCTTTTATTCTATTTTTATATATAGAAGAACATTAAACTGCAAGATTGGCAGAGTGGAAAGTGAATTTACGTTTATTCAAGAAATTGTCTCCAGTGCAAAACTCCATAACAATATGCACTAAAAATAAAAATTAAAAAAAATAAGTTAACTGAATAATTAAGTAGTTAATTGGAAGAAGAATCTTTTGAATAATAGTGAATTGTTCCAGACCACTGATTGTGTTGATAATCCATACTGGTTTAAGGAAAGTGTCCTTTGTGATTTGTGTTTGTCAAGTGTACTTAAACTTTGCATACTGCTACCAATAGAACTTATCTTTGAAATTACATTTTAATCATTCATACAATTCTATTTAAACACAAATGATTTGTAAACATTTCATCTGCTCCGTATTAGGAGAGAAATGATTAAGCAAGACCATTGTGCCTGTTCAGGGATATTGTTACACACCTCTGGAGCTGTTGGGACTTGAACCAGGGAACTATTGGCCTAGCAGCAGGGATACTACCACTGCAACACTGCAGTCCTTGTGCTGGAAACTGTGTTGATGAACTTGATAACTACCACTGTTATCAAAGCTCAGTGAGTAAAAAGAGTCACTTAGGAAAGGTACCAGAGAGTGACTGTGTTCATAGGAAACAACTCTCACAAGAAGACAGATTAATGATAAAGAGAAACAATTTCAGTTACGCATGTTTATACGTAAAATATTTCTGTCATTCTTGATTTCAGTAAGAGTGCCCTTGTATTTTTCTTGGGGATGTTAGATAACAATTGCAGGATAGAATTTTTACTCATGTTTGTGCCTAGAGAGAGGGACTTGAACATGAAACCTGTTAACTTTGTCAGTACTTTTTGACTGCAGATTGCTGGAAGAGGAGTGCAGCAAACGACTGGATTTGGAGAGGCTACATTTAAAACAACAACAAACCATACAAACTACAGAAGCAGAAAAGCAAGAACTGGAAAACCAGAGGGCAATGAAAGATCGAGCATTAGAGGCAGCAATGAAGCAACTGGATGAACTTGAGCGGGAGAGGAAACATGCGCTTGAGCAATATGGGGTAAGACTGTGACACACAAGATGACATCCTATTGCACAATAGTTTTAAAGATCAGAGATAGTAGGAACTGCCGATGCTGTAGAATCTGAGATAACACAGTGTAGAGCTGGATGAACACAGCAGGCCAAGCAGCATCACAGGAGCAGGAAAGCTGACGTTTTGGGTCGATACCCTTCTTCAGAAAAAAGTTTTAAAGATCAAGCAAGTTTCTTCATCTTGATTGCTGCTTCACAGTTTGTAAATGCTGAATCAATTAATTTGTACTCTACTAGCTTTCTAATTTGGTAACATCTGAAAATGGCTGTGCACTTCCTTCAGCATATAGTTGTCACTTCTGAGTTGAACAGTTTAGTTGGCTAGACTTTAATTAAATGTGTATTACTGTGGAAAACAACAGATAATCTTCTATGCAAGTAAAAACATCTGCCAAGACTACTGCTGCTGTTGTCTCTGAAGGTCGTGTATTTGTGTTCTGGACTGGAGATGATTGGGAAGAGATTAGGCTGATGCTGAAAATTTATTGAACTCTTTGTATTCACACGACAAGGTTTTACACAAGGCTATATAGAGCCATCTCCCAGTAGCTATGGTTGTCATATTATCATACATCACTGTTGATGTAGACTGTTCTATTTACATATTTAACATTAACCTTTACTCTACATCTCCCCTCAAGTCTCTGACTTCATATCCAGGTCACAGAGAGAACCATATGGTGGTTTCTCTAATCTTCCTGTCTGGTGCCCCATAAATTTTCTGGTCTCAGTGGTCTTTCTTCAGGAAGTCTCCCTGTCTCCTCAAATGCATGATTTTGTTTTTCATTTCTGTCTGCCAGGCTAACTGAATAGCCTTTAATGAAGTTAAATCTTCCCTCAATTGCAGAAAGTCACAATGTCTCTTCTGGAACACCTATGATGATGTGGTTTTGAATTAATTTGGATTAAGGGCTCTCTAGTTGGAATTCTGAGCTATCGTATCAAAGCCATTAATAAAGGAATCAATGCTCTTTCCAAATTACTGAGTGTGTCTATTAAATTTTACCCGCTCTGGAATAGTGTTCCTCCAAATGTTAAAGTATGCATTGACAGCTTTTATAACAACTTCATATACAGCCATTTCTTTGTTAATGCCCAGACTGTATATCTGTATTGCCATCCTTGATGCAGCAAAGGGCTCTGATCTGTTCCTTGGTAGCTTTTCTACTAGTCCTGAAACTTTTCGGTACCCTCATAAATCTACAATGTCAGTGCTGCCACTACTAAGTCTGATTCGGGTCTGTTCCTTTTCAAAGCACTCTGATAAGGGTGTGTTTTTTTTCTATTGCTTCTCTTTACACACGCTGCATGTGCTTTTTAATTTACTTGATCATTTATTTCTGTTCTGTTCTGTTCCCATTTCCTTCAAATCAGTCACTACCACGACCTGCTATCAATGTCTTTGAAGGTTGTCAGTTTTTTCATTTGGCAGTAGAGAAGTTGAAGGCTGCAGGCACTAGTCTATAGGTTAATGTTCTCAACTATTTACTGGACAAGGCTTTACCTGAGGGGTACTGCATGAAACGATCTTCTAGTGGTTCTAGTTGTCAACTGATCTTGCATCGCCATGTAATCCTTTCTGTTTTCATATTTAACATTTGCTCCTTTCTCTACATTTGAGTCCTGTTGCAATATATTCCTATTACTTTGTAAATCCAATAAAAAAAATCTTAAAGGACCATTCAGAGCATGCATTTCAAGATAATGACAACTAAATGGAGATACAGGGATAGTTCATTAATTTCTGAGATATTGGGATTATGTGTGCTAGAGTAGAAAGAAAAGATTTTCAAAAGTTTTAAAAATATAGGGGCGTTGACAAAATTAACAATAAAGAAATGATTGAGAAGTTAGTGATCATAAACTTAAAACTCTTTCCTCACAACCAGCAAGAATGTTAGGAGTAATTTGTGTGCACAGGATATTTGGAGAATGAAGCGTTATGCCACAGGGATGGATTGATTTAAATTTCTTTCTTTCTTTTGTGCATAGAATGTGAGTATCACTGGCAAGCCCAACATTTGTTGCACATGTATTATCATTGCCCGGCCTGAATGCTGGCCTTTCCTCGGTCTTCTCCATATCCCTCTGTCCTCTTCTAGTCTTTACATTAACCACTTATATTCCACAATTTTCAAACCATTCAGCATTGATAGTCTCCTCTTCTCCTTTTCCCTTGAAATGATTCCTCCATATCATTTGTTACCGGTCCCTTTCATCCCAAGATGTGCCTGCCAGTGTCTCTACCATTTCTTAACTATGTTTGTATGTGATTTGTTCACTTACTATCTTCAGCACTTCACCAAATGTTACTTTTTCCAACCAGCTGATTCTTTCCATTCTCCTTCAAAGCACACATTTAAAAGCTATTCAGTAAATTGGTCTCCTCTTTCCCTATGGCCTAGGTCTCGCATCCATACAAAGAACGTTCTAGATCAAGTGCTTTACAAGTCTTGTTGTTTATTCAGCTTTCCGGTTAATAACTGTTGTTGTCTTAAATACAACTCTTCCCACTGCTGTTCTAGTTCTTCTTCCATTTTGGTGCCATCCATCAGATAATATGCTTCCTAAATACTTGAATTCTTGCACATATTCTAGTTCTCTTTCTTTCATGAATATATGAATACTTCTTAGTAATTTGGGGATATACCAAACCAAAACCTTGGTTTTGTTCACGTTCATTTTCCTTCCAAAGTTCATGCCTGCTGTTAGCAGTCTATCTACTAGTTCTTACAATCCTTCTCTGCGTTTGCTATGTGTGCTTTATCATCAGCAAATCTAACAGATGTTAGCAGCTGTCCTGCAGTATTAATGCCAGATTTTGTCTGCCAATGCTTCTTTATCATTGTTACTAATCTTCCTTAATGTCAATACAGAAACAAACAAAACTTTTTCAAACTCGTCTCCCAGTTCTGAATTCACTGTAGTGTATTCTTATGGTTGTTCATCCCTAATTGTCTTTAAGGGGTTGCTTAACTGTCTTCTCAACCTGCAGTTCATCTGCTGGAGATACATCTGCGATGCTATTACGGAGAGCGTTCTCAGTGACAAGGAGGGAATGGCAATTTAGTTCCAAGTCAGAATGGTGTCTGTTTTGGAGGAGAACACACAGATATTAATGAATTGGAGACCCTCGTTCAATTTCAAGGATAATTAGATGAATATTTGAAGCAAATACAAAGTCATTGGGACAAAGCAGGAAAAAGGGGTTATTTTTAGACCCGCCTCCCTAACCTGTTCTTCCTCCCACCTATCCCCTCCTCCCACCTCAAGCCGCACCCCCATCTCCTACCAACTAACCTCATCCTGCCCCCTTGACCTGTCCGTCCTCCCTGGACTGACCTATCCCCTCCCTAACTCCCCACCTACACTCACCTTTACTGGCTCCATCCCCGCCTCTTCGACCTGTTTGTATCCTCTCCTCTATCCATCTTTTATCCGCCTCCTCCTCTCTCCCTATTTATTTCAGAACCCCCTTCCCCTCCCCCTTTTCTGATGAAGGGTCTAGGCCCGAAACGTCAGCCTTTCTGCTCCTGTGATGCTGCTTGGCCTGCTGTGTTCATCCAGCCCTGCACCTTGTTGTCTCGGATTCTCCAGCATCTGCAGTTCCTACTATCTCTGATTTATTTTTAGATTACTCTAATGAATGATCAATTTAGGGAATGGACTCCTGTTTTGTATTTGACCTTTTAGCTGTCTCTCAAATAATTGTCCCATCTGCAAACTCCCTTTTTATTTGTCTGGGAATGTGATGTAGCTTCCAAGATCTACGATAGTTCTTTTCTCAAATAAGACATATGGGAATTGCAAAAAACGTACCAATAACATGGATGTCAAGATTCTTATATGATTAATGATATTGTAAAGGTGCTCAACAACTCTGCAATCTCTGCCCAATAAGATTTTAAATCTTCCATGGAGGAAGAAAATTGGGAAGAAGTGGTAACAATTGAAACTATGTAGATATAATAGTGCAATAAACTGTTTCAATTCTGTATAATTTTGGCAGGAAGCAGCAAAAAAATTAGAGCTGGCAACTAGCAAAACAAAGAACTGGAAGGCCAAGGTGGCTCAACATGAAGGATTGCTGCGACTTATAGAGCCAGGTAAGAAAAGTAAAAATAATTATTGTACAATAAATTATAATAATATAGCAGCAATAAAGCCTCTAGCAAGTACAAGGGTCTACCAGATTAGAACATAGAACATTACAGCGCAGTACAGGCCCTTCAGCCCTCGATGTTGCGCCGACCTGTGAAACCAATCTGAAGCCCATCTAACCTACACTATACCATTATCATCCATATGTTTATCCAATGACCATTTAAATGCCCTTAAAGTTGGCGAGTCTACTACTGTTGCAGGCAGGGCATTCCACGCCCTTACTACTCTCTGAGTAAAGAACCTATCTCTGACATCTGTCCTATATCTATCACCCCTCAATTTAAAGCTATGTCCCCTTGTGCTAGCCATCGCCATCCGAGGAAAAAGGCTCTCACTGTCCACCCTATCTAATCGTCTGATCATCTCGTATGTCTCTATTAAGTCACCTCTTAACCTTCTTCTCTCTAACGAAAACAGCCTCAAGTCCCTCAGCCTTTCCTCATAAGACCTTCCCTCCATACCAGGCAACATCCTGGTAAATCTCCTCTGCACCCTTTCCAGTACTTCCACATCCTTCCTATAATGCGGCGACCAGAACTGTACGCAATGTTAGAAGTGGTGGTGAAGAGGTTACTATATCCTCTTGTGAGTATACCTGAAAGTGACTGAGAAATCTGGTTGGAAAATAAATTATTTGTCATTGCTTTGTCACTACGCCAGTAGAAACATAATATAGCAGATGCTGGAAACCTGGAGAAATTCAACAGCTCCAGCAGCATCAGTGGAGATAGAAACAGAGTTGAAGTTTAGAGTCCAAAGGTTCATCTTCAGATCTCCATTCTGAAGAATGGTCTTTAGACTTGAAGTGTTAACTCTGTTTACCTCTCCACAGATGCTGCCAGTCACTTTTCAATTCCTTGTTGCTGTATCATTGCACAAAATGAGAAGATGTCATAGATGTCAAAGAAAGATTGTATGCTGATTCCTTCTTTTGAAGCATTTTTCAAGAACTGCAATTTGTTTTTTTTTTTTGAAGAGCTTGATTTAGACAAAGCACAGAAATATTTTTCTTACAATCCTGTATTCATAACCCATTGATCTGGGTGACAAATTGGAATAAGTACTGAATAAAGTTATTTTTGAACATCTATTCAATAAGAGATGTTAATGCATATATCTGTTCCCTTTTCTTTTCCAAAGTATGCCTTTAGGATTCTGATAATAACCAGAATTTAAATCATTTGTAGGTCTCCACTATGCAAAAGTCTAGATTTATGGAATTAATATCCAATATGGTCATTGGCTTAGATCAAACTATGTTGATTGATCTTTACTGTACGCTGCACCTTCATCATGGCTGAACAATATTTGATAGCATTGAATAAAAATCTTGGTAGGGGAAAAATAGTTGTGTTGTTAATTCACTGTTGACTTAAGAGCTTCAATTCTTACCTGTCCTCTGAATTAGCCTAGCAAACCACCAAGTTCTGTCAAACCACTTCAGAGAAGTCTAAGAAGAGCAAAAGATGATAAATCCCATGGCAGCTATCTAGGCATTGGATTCAGCTGCAACAAAGGCACATGCAGCTCTAACTAATACTGCAAAGTCTTACTCACCAACATCTGAGTATTTGTGCAAAAATTGGAACAGCTGTCATTATTGAGTGGCCCAGGAAGACTTACAATCTCAGAAACATGTATTTTAGCCAATGCCCTAGGTTCTATCTTCATCCACCAGAGCTAAAGGCATAGTGGTATGCAGTTAGAGGGATGGGGTGCTTACAGCCCTTAACATTGACTCATGGTAACAGGTCACACTGATTATAACATACTGCTCTCTTCCTTTTTGGAGATGAAGTCTTGTTTTCATACTGAGTATACAATTCCATCATAATGCATGGCATTACCATAGTGTAAGATTTGGGGGTTCACATGACTTTAATTTCAAGATCCATTTGATTACAAAAGTAGTCGAAGTTGAGTGAGCCAGTCTAAAAGATCTCCTAAAAGATACAACAAGTGCAAGTATGTTTTCACATACCTCACATAAATTTTGCATCGAAATGAATGATATTCAATAAAAAGTTGTTTTCAGTTAATCCATTTTGAGACACAAGCTGTCAACATCTGGCTGATTGGGCACTAGTGTTTCTTGTAAAAGCAGTTGGGACACCCCATGCACACCCCATTGATCTCTGCCATATGACTACTGCGCTGGTTTAAATATACCCCACGCGCAACTCTAAAGTCTGTAGGAATACCTAAGGTTTGAAGGAACATTATTGGGCATGTAAAACAGCAGTAGCTGGAAAAGCTCAGCAGGTCAGGCAGCATCTGTGAAGAGAAAATCAGTTCTGAGGAAGGGTCACAGGACCTGAAACGCTAACTCTGATTTTCTCTTCACAGATGCTGCCAGACCTGCTGAGCTATTCCAGCAACTTCTGTTTGTGTTCCTGATTTACAGCATCGGCAGTTCTTTTGGTTTTTAATTGTTATTGGGCACGTGTCTGTTTATGACTTCTGTTGACTAAAGTTGTCCTTCAGTCGTTGGTCTTCTGACCATGCACCAAATCACTGCTTGTTAACCCTTTTCTAGCCATTATTTTCTAATTAACCACTTCAGAGATGTTATTACACGTTATCAATTTCAGGTTGATCTAGGTAGAATGTGCCGAATTTCTGATTTATTTTTTAAAAAAGGCAGTTCATCTTACTGATCTCATTTCCTACTATCTCCTGATTTGTTCCTTTAAATGTCACTTCTATTCCTTTTATGATCGCTTATCCCTTTTATCAAATACCTTATTATCATACTGCTAGTAGAGCAATTTGTGCACCTGTTTGGGAGTATGTAACGTCACCTTCTAGTGATTTAATATTATCCTCGATGCTCCAATACTAATTGCAGTGTTAATTAAATTCCATTCAGATATGAATTAGTGTGTGCCTGCATGCCACAAACCTAGACAACATTTAAACTAGGATTGATAAATAGCAAGTAATAATTGTTGTGCACAACTGCAAGACAATAACCCCTCCAACAAAAGAGAATTTAATCACCTCTTGAAAATGCCATCACCAAATTCCTCATCATGAACACCCTGAGGATAATCATTAACCTGAAACTTAACTGACTGACCTCACTAAATACTATGGCTACAAGAGCAGATCAGAAGCAGGGAAATCTACAATGTGCAAAGCAGTATGTCATGGAATATTCTTCTTGTCTGGATGATTCAATAACACTCAAGAAGAAAAACTCATGACAACCCAGGATAAAGCAACCTGTTTGATTGGAATCCCATCCACCGACTTAAAAATTCTCTTCCTTCAGCACAGGTTCACAGTGGCAGTAGTGTGCACCATCAACAAGATGCACTGCAGCAAACTGCCAAGCTTGCTTTGCCAGCATCTTTCAAATTCATGAGAGTACCACCTCCTAGAATGAAGGTTGTCAGCACACAGACAGCATCTGCAAAGTTCTTCCTCCAAGTTGCACACCAGCCAAACTTGGAAACACACTGCTGTTACCTCAAAATCCTGGAATTCCCTTGTCAATAGCACTGCATACACCTCCATCATGCAGATTCCAGAGGTTTAAGATAGCAGCCTACATCCCATGAATAAATAAAAAAAAAATTTCTTTCATGCAAAATGTTATGATATAGCAATTTCATCTTGTTTTGAAAAACACTAAACTGTTTTAATGCCGGGTAGCTAAGACCATGTAGATTCCATATGGGGAGGAAGTTAGAATGGAGATATAAAGCAGATGTCAGAAGGAAATGAGCTAGAGAAGAAAATTGAGACAATAATTTCATCAAAATGATGGAAAATGTGAAACTATTACCTGTCCCATTATCCTTGGCCTCAAACATGCACAGTGTAGTTTTTAGTTCATTATTTAATTTAAGATATTATTCGTATTCGGTGCATATTGAATTGCTCCTTTTCATTGTTTGTTTTTTTAATTCTTGTAGGTCCAAAGGGCCGTCAGCTAATCACTAATTGGGGACCAGCTGCCTTCACAGAGGCTGAGTTGAACCTGCGGGAAAAGAGCTGGCAAAAACAGAAAAATAGTGCAATGCAGTAATCTATTATTTCATAACAGATCAAAGTTTTACACTGTTGTGACAGGCTACACACTGGAATAAAATGCTATGGACATGTTCATTGTGGAAGCAGAACTGTTTTGAAAATGTTATGCAAAGGAGTATTTTATACTAAAATCTTAATGTGTTGGAACCTCAAATGTATGCTGGCACACAGAGCAAAGGACAGCTTGTTTGTAGTTGATATGAAGTTCTGTTAGACTTTTCAATAAATATTGTCAAGTTAATTTTAAATACATTTAAAGTTTGCTTTCAGCATTCTGTAATTTTTATACTTGGCTTGAAACTGATTTTTTTTTGCTTGCTTCAGTTCTTAGCTGCACTGTTGTATTAACTTTGCACTGAGCTGGATGTGTGACTGATTTGATTTAGTTATGTAATTTTGTTGTGTCATAGGATAAATTGGTTTTGTTATTAGTTTTATTCACAGCACTAATCTCAATTCACAATCTTTTACTCTCCATTAGAACTGTAACAAAACAGTCAGCTAAGGCTGTAGTGTTCACAAAATGTGATGCTGAATGCATGAAGTACAAATTTGCCCAAGGCACTCCAATCGACAGCTATCCATTTGCAGGAAGAAGAAAAGAAATCCTATACTTTTTTAATAACTTGCCTTTCATATTCACAATGTCATTACTGATGTAATTTGCCAAAAGACCTTTGTCTGGCAATATTTAACCTGTTTGATGTTCTGTTTAAGGACAGCCAGTGCAGATATGATGGGCTAAATGGCCTGTTTCTGTGCTGTAATAATTCTGGTTTTTGTTGTGTACTATTTGTATCGAAAAGATCGTAAATGTTCAGATGACAATGTATGATTTTCTTGCATAGCTCCTTATTTGTTTTACAAGTGATACTTTCTAAACCTTAAAATAACTAGGCTATTTAAATTAGGATTGATTTAAATAGAAGTGTCAATAATAACGGATATTATGAAAATGTGCACTGAACAATTGGACTTTCTTGCAGATTAGAGAGACTGGTCCAACATGACATGGACTTAGTCATGCCAAAAATTTTACCCGGGGTAGAACCTGTTAAAAACTTTAAAACTATTTGCTGAGTTGGGATGACTTGGAAGCCCTTTAAAAATGGTGGACAGGTGCTGCATCGGGAATCCCTGACCCCTGTTCTGGGCTGTCTGATTTTCACCAAGGCCTTTTAAGGTTGAAGGTACGGGTTATGGACTTACCTCCTGCCATCCTAGTTGACTCCAGCTTGTGAGGCATTTTCAGCTCCTTTGTAATTGTTGTGGAATTGGGAGTTGGAATCGTGAAGCACAGACTGTACCAGGAAACCTTTTAAAACATAAGTTCAAAAAGTCCCTCAAATGCCCGAAATGCTAAGCTGTGACATTTTTATGCTGTTTGGTTCAAAGAACCCTATAGTGCAAACAGGATGCTGTTTCTAAAAATACTTCTAAAAAGATTAAATCATAACTTGGCAATATTTTAAAAAAGACTTTTTTTTACTACGAGAGTAAAAGTGCTGATCCATGCCATTAAATGTCTCAATAGCAGAAACTACGGCATTTGTTCTGAAAAACATTGTCTTATTGAGCTGTCAATAAAACAATACTTTCCCCAGGATTATCTGTTTCAACAGTTTAATGGAATCTCAGCTAAGTTGCATTCTTGAACTAGTGGTCCATTGGTTCTATACAGTGCATTATGAGCCAATGGATCTAGAAGTACCATAGGGATTACAGGGGTTGGGTGCAGGGGTATAGTATGCCATGGAAGCAGCTGGGAGAGTGTATATGGCCTGAGAGCCTTCACCTTTTTCATTAGAACAATATGCATGACCCTATGGCACTGAAGTTGCTCTTTTAAACAACAGGCCTCAGTGCCTTTGACAGCCTCCAACCACATTCCTAGGTGGGCTTGCCCAGCTGCAGCCTCACCCCCCATGAAGATGTGCAGGCATAATTTCCCAAGGCATGCACACTATGCTTGGAATTTTTGATTCCTGCTACGTCTCAAAGTTAAAAATCCAGACTATTGCCTTCAATAAAAATACTGAATTTTATGCAGACATTTAGACTGTAGCTTCATTTTTTGTGTTTCATAAACATTTAAATTTACTTGTTTAATTATAGTGATGGTATAATTATTCCACAAAATTGTTTGAATGAAGCTAATTAAAATTTTAAATTTGAGTTGGTTTTTAACATGAGCATATGCTTTTATATGTGTCCAAACAAAGATTAGGAATTAAAAGCAAAAACAGATTTGGCCATTTGCTTCATTACTTGTGCATTTTACACCATGTTTTAATGCCACTATCCCTTGAAGAGAGACTTGGCAAAATTCATTGTTCTGTTCAGTTGAAAATTAAACGTATCTGTTCTACTGATATCCACAAGAGGTTTTGAGCAGCAGTAGCATTGATTAGCATGTAATTTAATTCTGCTAGCTATTGTTTTCTTTATATGCAGTCCCTGATCAATGTAATTAGGTGTAGATAATTAGATTGTAGAGATTATCCAATCACTGACCTTTTGGCCTTTTCAGCACAGTGTTATTTGCAGAAACAAACCACCTTTGTTTGCGTGAAACAAACATGGAATAACATCCAAATTAAATACAACAAAATTGTTACGTTGTGGAAATATCCACTTTGGAGGAAATGACTAAGTTGGGGCAGCAAGTGGCCAAGAAAGATTCATTTATATTAACAACAGGTCATAACAAAGTTCTGTCGTAGCTTTCTTTCATTTAATAAATCAATTGGAAATTATTCTGTCAAAAATTTCATGAAGCATTGTTAGTTGGTTAGATTGCTGAGATGAATTACAAGGGCCATGTTCTTGACCCGATGTCACGGCATTTAAAGAAATGCACTGAAATATATATTTGTCAAGCTGGTGGCTCAATCTTACAGTACAGGATGATCACAGATTCAACCCATCGTCTGCATTGAGTTAGCTGACCCCTGTCTCTAGTGTCCCACTCCTGGTGACTATCTCATTGGATGAGGCTTAGTCTCCTTTAGATATTCCCCCACCCTTCTTCATTGGGACATGTGAACAGTAGCCAAATGGACAAAGTATCAGGGCACAGCCATCCCTCAAAGGAGAGAAAGGGTTTGCAGGTTTTATTTAGAAAACTGAATCTAGTTTCTTTTATAATCTTCTAATATACATTAATGATATTTTGTACAGCCTCAGTAGATTCCAGGGGACATGTGAAAGATAAAGCTTTTGGGACTCAATTATTGTGCATTTGAATAATTAACAAAAATAACTTGTAATATCTATGTGAAACCAAGTTGAAAGTTGTGTTGAGCTTGCTAAGAACATTCAATACTATGATAATTTTATTTAAAGAAATATAGAAAAAAAAGTGTATAACTTCTGCAACTGTTTTTGTCTAGAAGTGACATATTTAAAAGTTAATGGTAATTTGATTTTTAGACTTTGTTTAAAAATTGTCATTTTTGAGGTCGGCTATTAATTTTCAATTTGTCTTTTAACAATGGTTTTGTGCAAACTTGTGATACAGCTCCTGGTTAGTTTTCTTTCATAATTCCATGCCTTGAACCACTATTTGAAACTGGAATCAATTGTTCACCTTATCATCCTAAACCTAGCTGAGATCATTAAACATCTGAATGGCTGGTGTTTATTCATGATTAATGTGTAGACATTTATCTAAAGTGCCAAGATTAGAGTAAAAATTGCTTTCTGCAGTCGCTTTACATTTTACTATTAATGTGGTCAGGTTAATATCACTGTCAGAGATTTGTAACTACTGGCAAGTTGATATTTTGCAACCAGTTGTAATTCAGCATTGAAACAGTGTTAGTGACTAAAATAAAAATGATATGAACTTAAAAATTTCAATATGGTTTCTCACTGTAATGTACAATACCACCTCTATCCCAGACATTGCTGTTTTTCACTCATGAATATAATCAGATATTAATGCGAGTGTCCTGTAATTTCATTAATTTTGTATTTATAGCTGTGGGAGTGCCTGATTATATCTGCTTGTCATCTCTAGTACACTTCTATCCATTATTTTAAAGAACTATGAGCCAAACAAAGTGCAATAGAGAGGGAGCGAGATAACTATTTAAGTTGTTCCAGTACTGTACTGTTCAATTGTGTGTACATATACTATATAGGCCCTTGGATAGCTATCCGAAATGGGAAGCTTAAGTTGGCAGATGTGATATTTTTTCCTTCTCTCTTTTGTACGAGATGTTTTATCAATAGCCCATTTCAATATTCACAAAGACCTGTTCAGTGTCTTTCAGTGGACTTCTAAGTGGTAAGCAACATTCGTGCTATACAAACTTCCACGCAACAATCATTTCCATCAAATGACAGTCTAAATATCCTCCATCCTGGGGGTTACCATTGACCAGAAACTGAATTGGGCCAGTCAAATAAATATTGTGATCATGGGAGCAAGTCAGAAGCTGGGAATTCTGCAGTGAGTAACTCACCATTTGTCTCCCTAATACCTGTCTGCCACCTACAAGGCAGAAGTCAGTAAAGCACTCTGCACTTTCCTGGATGGGTGCAGCTCCAACAACATTCAAGAAGTTTGACACTATCCAAGACAAATTAGCACGCTTGATCAGCATCAAATCCACCGCCATTGTCTCTCCATTACTGACACTGTATCAACAGTGTGTACCATCTATTAGATGCACTGCAATAACTCACCAATGTTCTTTCAACAGTACTTTCCAAACTTGTGACCTCTACCACATTAAAAAGGACAGGGGCAGCAGATGCATCGGAACACCGCCACCTTCAAGCTCCGCTCCATGCACCATTCCAACTTGAAACAATATCATCATTCTTTCACCGTCACTGGGTTCAAATCCTGGAACTCCCTCCCTTAGAGAACCATGGGTATTCCAAGAACTGCAGCAGTTCGAGAAAGTAACTCACCTCCATCTTCTCCAGGGCAAAGAGAGGTGGTTAATAAATGATGGCTTAATGAGCAACACTCATGAAAAACTAAGTAAATCTTTTTTCTTGAAATTATAGATACACCTCTTGCATTTCTACAGTTTGTTGTACGTTTTGAGTTAACAAAAGATGTTTAAGGTTTCATGTTGATCATTGGTAAAGTATTGAATTACAATAGGGGATCAAGTATGTGGCTGTATATGTGTGTGTGTGTGTATATATATATATATATTATATATACACACACACACACACACACACAGATGTTGGCTCAACACAGGCAATAACAGGTAAGTATACTGAACTGTTTTGATCTAATCTTGATTCCTAGTTAGTGCTAAATTGACCAATCTCCTTTAGTATAGTGGAATTGACCTCAGAGACCTGGGGAAGAGAGAAGGAAGAAAACTTGGGGTTCTGATCACTCACTGCTGGAAAGTGTATGAATGGACATTGGGAAAGAATAAGGTCATTAATGCCTTCCGTTATCCACTAATTTGATGCTCACTGACTTTGCTGGCTACATGCTTGGCCAAGATACCAGAGGCTTTCTGGTGCTTGTGAAACTATTGCAAATCTGTTCAAACTTTCTTTTTTAAAAAAAAGTGTTACAAAAATAATTACTTACAATTAAGAATTTTGCTGTCAAGAAGATGGATATAGGTGGAGTGCTTCAGTATTTAGTCTTAAGGCCGTTAATGTTTTTGAAATGTAATTAATGATTTTGTCAAAGGTGTCCCAAAAGCAAAAGTAGTAACATTTCAGCAAATACAAAGATAGGAGGCCCAATAAATGTTGGGATGTGATTAACTCAAACTGGAAGATAAAAGAAAAATACTGCAGATGCTGGAAATCTGAAATAAACTCAGGAAATGTTGGAGAAACTCAGTAGGTCTGGCAGCATCTGTGAAGCGAGAAAGAGTTAATGTCTCAAGTCCGGTATATTCATTTTGCCCTCCTACCCAGCCCCTGACTACTTGCCCATGCACTGTTCCATTTTCCACATACCCCCTGCACTGTCCTGCTCCCATCTCTCCATTCTGACCTTGCTTTCACCACATCATCCACCACCTGTTTCTCCATCATCTTCACTCCTGCCCCCATCCCACCATGCTTCCCTCACTCCCATTCATCTGCCTTCCCCTCATCAATTCTGTCTTCACAAATGAATAATTAGAGTACGTCGTCAAAGCTGTCAAAATTAAATGTGATCAGTGTCATGTCATTCAGTATTTTTTATTTGCAGGGAGTGTTGTGCCTATTATTTGACTGGAACATTTGAAAATGGGTGAAAAACTTGGACAATGATAGCGATGCCAAGGTTTTATGATAGTGCTATTGCCAGTAGTCTGCATTGCTTTCCTTGTTTGTAAAAACCTTCTGATCTCATTTCAGAGTAGAAATCGGAATTATAAGCCCCCTTCCAGTTAACCTGTTTTCCAAATCAATCTATTCAGAGACGTTATTACACAGCTCCGGAGCGGGTAGGATTTAAACCCAGGTCTCAGTTTAAGGGTAGGGACACTACCACCGCCACTAGAGGGTCCCTTTGCAGTTTAATGCCATAAAGTGAAGACCTGGCCCAGGTGAACTGAATGGTGAATCAGCTCTTCAGCAGGTGGGGTTAATCAGATTTGTTCTGCTGCCTAATTCCAGTGAATTCTCACTTGCTGTGGTAGTTGAGGAACCTGTTTTGACCGTCATGCAGTGTTCAGCTCTTGGTTTCTTTATTACATCTTGGAGTTTTATGTTTTCAAGAACTACATCTGCACTGGAATACGTGTAAATTTCAGGAAACCTTCAGCATAAGGACAGGAAGGAAGGAAGTGGAGCCAGATTTTACCAGTGCGTGAGTCTTCCATTGTTTTTCTTTTAATTTCATTAAGTAGAAAACCCAAACAACACTGTGGATACTAGAACAAGCTGTTTTTTTGTTGCAGTTTGAAATCTAAGCAGCAACATGGCAAAATAAACTAAGGAAGTAACTTGCTTGTTTAGAACAAAAACACTTTTTGAGCTGTGGTCGGAAATGCAGAGGGACTTTTCCAAATATGTAAATCATTTATAGTGTGACAAGTAAAAGTTCTTCCCAGTTAATTTCATACTTCTTTTCTGCTCCAATTTGGTTGAAGTTGATATTTGTTTTTAGTTCTGCCATCCATCCAGCTTAATCTAGTTTTGTGGAAACTATTCAATCCTGATGTGGGACGAATGGTATACATGATGGTTGAGAACGAATTGGTTCTAGACTAAGCTGAACTAGACTAAGCTGAACTCTGGCTCTGATGAAGCTGGCAAAGGAAGTCAATTGGATATGGTAAGGATCCTGACAAGTGCTCATCTTTTTGTGGGTTGATTGGTCCGTATTTATCGTATGGCACAGCATTAATTTCAAGAAGACCAAGGTAAACCGGTAACTAGAATCAGCTGTGGTTTAATTTCTAGCATACCCATTTCTGAGATTTGAGCATAATCTTGATTGTCACTCCAATGCAGTATTGAGGGAATGCTGCACTGTCAGAGGTATTGTGCTTCAGGTGAGGTGTTAAAACTGAGCTCTCGTGCCCTTTTGGGTGAACAGAAAAAAACCCTGTGGCACAATTCAAAATTGACTGTGGAGTTCTCTCCAGGGTCCTGGCCATATTTAAATCATGAATAAAGGGGGTGGGGTTATCTAATTGTTATTGTGTTGTTTGGTTCTGAAAGTTGCTGTCCTTTGGAGATCCATGCAGGTGAAAATCAAATTGTGCATGCTGTCCCCCTCTCCCAATTCCCATTGATTTCAACTTTTAGGGCTTATTGAAATGCTACATTTGAATGAATACTGCTTTGATGTGTCGGGCACTCTCGTCTCACCTCTTCAATTTAACTTTTTGTACATGTGGACCAAGGCTGTAATGACATCTGCTACTGACATGATGGGCCTAAAGCACTGTAATAATTACGATTCTGTGTCCTTGGTAGAACAATAACTTAATGTCAGTTAATGCTGAGTAGGTGTCTTTTGATAGCATGTCACTGACACATTCCATCAGTTTGACTGTGTAGACTGATGGGGTAGTAATTGGCAAATTTGGATTGGTCATACTTCTCGTGCACAGCTACACACCTACTGTAGTTCTGTTGTCTAGCCAATATGTGGCTCCAGACATCGCTGACTTTTAACTGTCCCTGAAATGGCCTAGTCAGCTGTTTTGTGTTTAATGAGGCAGTAGAGAGAATACAAAGAATGATAAAATCAATCAAATAACATTCACATTAAACACAACAGCAGATATGACAAAAGCTGTTTAATTTGACCCTGCAAACTCCTCATTATGCCTTGTACCAAAATTGAGAAAGCTGTCACACAGAGCCAACGCCCTAACATTGAGACAGTATGAGTATCAAACCTTGCCAACCCACAACCTAGTGCCACTGGCTGGACAAACCCACCAGAGGTGGTGCCATAATAGTGTTAGGGAGTTCTCAATATTTACCTAAGAACAGATGCTGAAATTTAATGTGTTCCTATGTCATGCAATTGTATAGTTGATATTTCCCAGATTTGGTCAAATCATTGCATCTATTTTGGATTGAATACAATTGAATTATTTCCCCTTGTGCTAGTTTAGTGTTCCTCTCCAGTTTAGCAGATTAGTTGTAATAGACATGCATGATGGTGGCAGAGTAGGACATTCAAGCCGGAGCTTCTCTGCTCTACCCATTCTCTTTTCTTTTCAACTGTTTCAACTAATGACTTTGACTTACCTGGAGCAGAACGGGGGAGCTGGTGAGTCCTGGAGCCGAGGGGAAGTGAGTCCTGCAGCAAACTTACCTTGGAGAGCTGAGAGCCAGTGTGGAGTGGACTGGAGGCTTAGAGCGGAACGGGGACGGTTGTTGGACTGGGGTCTGGTGTGGGCGGTCAGACACATGTG